TGCCCAAGATGATTCCTGCTTCACTCCCAGCAATATAATTAACTTTTCGTCTTCTTTCTCCATCTGTCCTCTACTTATTAAACATTGTGGCACCGAGAGACTCCTTACTGTAATTTTTATTAAATGCCAGACAAAATACTAAGTCTCATATATATTTCTCCATTTCATTCAATCCTCACACTAGAAGATAGGTATTATACCCATTTCAGAGGGCTGGGCAGATAGCTTGGTGCACAGAGTGCCTTCAAGCATTAGGACCTGTGTAAAAGTCAAGTGTGGTAACCCCCAGCACTGGGAAATTGGAACATGAAGATCCAAGGGGCTAGCCTAGTCAAAACATCAAACTCTAGGTTCAGTGAGGGACTCTGTCTCAAAAATAAGGTGGAGAGTGAGAGAGGTGGACACTTGACATCACCCACCTCTGACCTCTATATGCCCTACCCACCCCCCACAAAAAAATTTACAACTAAGATCATACTTAATGGTGAGAAACTGTAAGCTTCCTTTCTAAGATCAGAAACAAGCAAGAATGATCCTTCAACCATTTTCTCTCAACATTGCATCGGGAGTCTTGGCAAATGCAATCAGACAAGAAAAGGAAATAAAGGTTAGAGGCTAGGAAGGAAAGGTCTTTGTTCAAAGATGAAATATTCATCTACACAGAAATTCTGAAAGAATCACCAAAACCACTCTTGGAACTAATAATAACAGCAGGATTATATAAAAAGTCATTTTCCTATATGTCAATAAGGAACAAGGAAAAAGCAGAGTGTAAAAAATTATATTTATGTTAGTAACAGAGAGAGAGAGAGAGAGAGAGAGAGAGAGAGAGAGAGAGAGAGAGATGGAGAGAAGAAGGCTCAGCAGTCAAAAGCATTGGTCACTCTTCCAGAGGACCCTGCTTTGATTCCCAGCACTCACATCGTGGCTCACAACTGTCTGTAACTCCAGTTCCAGGGCCTGACTCCCACTTTTGGCCTATGTAGGCAACAGTCATGCATGCATGTGGTACAGAGACATACATGTAAACAAAACACACACAAAATAAATAAATTAATTTTAAAAATCATGAAAAATTATAAAGCTAAGTACTACAGACATGCTAGTTCTCCCAGCCTTGTCTACAGAGCATGGAATTCCAGTATAATTTAGCAAGTGATCCTATGGACACAGATACACTAATTCTAAAGTTTGTGAAGAGATAAAAAAGACACCTCTTGTAGGTACCTATTGTAAAGTTACAACATAAGAGGAGAAAAATGAAGGAGGGCTGAAGACACAGAAGTATATAAATACAATCAACTGACCTTTCAAGAAGGAGCAAAGGCAACATAATGAAGAAAAGATAGTCTTTTCAATAATGGTGCTGGGGAAATCTGAGTATCTTCATCCAAAAAAAAAATTACTTTAAACAAAGACCTTGTATTTCTTATAAAAATGTAACTCAAAATATGCAGCCAGGCATGATAGCACTTATCTATAATCCCAGAGCTTCAGTGGCTAAAACAGAAAGACTATTGAGTTCAAGAGCAATCTGGACTATACTGCAAGATCCTATGTTCAAAACCACAAACAAGCAACAACAAAACCCCACCTCTAAACCAGGCATGGTGGGATCAAGAACTGTAATCTGAGCACTGAGAGGGGAGGGGGGACAGCAGGCTGGGATCATTCTCAGATACACTGAGTTCCAGGCCAGCCTGGGCTTTGTCTTAAAAAGCAAAAACAAAAAACTCTCAAAGGGGCTGGAGAGATGGCTCAGAGGTTAAGAGCACTGGCTCTTCTTCTAGAGGTCCTGAGTTCAATTCCCAGCAACCACATGGTGGCTCACAACCATCTACAACGAGATCTGGTGCCCTCTTCTGGCCTGCAGACTGAACACTCATTGTATACATAATTAATAAATAAATCTTTAAAAAAAAAAAAAAAAAAAAAAAAAACTCTCAAAGTGGCTTATAGAACCAAACATAAAAACCACATAGCTCCTAGAAGATACTAGAACAGACAAAGCTATATGATTTAGATATGGCAAAATTAATCCATGAAAAAGCTAGATCATTAAAATCTTCTGCTCTGGAAAAGGCATTGTCAAAAGAATAAAAAGACATGACAGAGACTGAAAGAAAGTATTTAAAACGATTTTACAAAGACCTTGTACTCAACATATACATAAAAACTCTTAAAGTCAAAACAAGGAAACAAAGCCATTGAAAATGGAGAATCACCTCTCCTGACTTGCACATGGCGCTGACTTGCACATGGCGCTGGAAGGCACTAGGCATGCTACTAGAAAAGTACACAACATCACCCAGCTACAAACTTTCTTGTCCACAACAGAGGCCTGCTCACAAGCTACACCGATGCCACAGTGGCACAGCTGTGATGGGAGTAACTGACCACCTTTTGATTGGTTTCAAGGCCCACTCCACAAGAGAGAACCCATACCCGACTCTGCTAAAGTGGCCAAGAACCTGAGGCTAGACAGGTCATGAGCCTGGAGGAAAACCTAGTACTACTATCCTGCTAAAGGAACAAAGCAATAAAATGATTCCTAATGACATACTGTTACACCTATAGACATACATCACTCAGCCCTCATCAGAGAAGACTCTTCCTGTAATAGATGAGAATTAACATGGAGATCCAAAACTGGACAATGTGCAGAGAGTGAGAGACTTTGGAACAGTCAGCCCTAAACAGGATGTCTTTACCAAACCCTTCCCCTCAAGGCTCAGAAGTCTATATGAAGAAGAGGCAGAAAGATCCTAAGAGACAGCCAGAGGTGGGGGATGACTGTAAGGAAAGAGCATTTTCCAGCTTCAAGGCTGATACACACAGGAACTCACAGAGACTATGAAAGCATGCACAGGATCTGCACAGGTTCAAACCAGAAAATCCCATAACCAAGCAGGGGACACTGACACAAAGTCCCACCCCCAACTAAGAAGCTATTTGCAACTGATACCTGATAGGAAAGGAAAAACAAGTTTTTTCAAATGGAGTCTCACTGGGTGTATCAACCATACTCAAGAGCAGGCCTCACGCTCGGGAGTAGTTGACCAACACAAAACAGACTCCATGGATTTTTGTACACTTTGTTTTGTTTTGTGTATATGTGTTTTATTAGTTTTGTTTTTTAGTTTGTTTTGATTTTTTAAGTTTGTTTGTTTTGAGAGAGAAAAGAACATAAAGTTGGGTGGATAGGGAGGTGGGGAGAATCTGTGGGGAGTTGAAGAGAGGAAAAAATATGATCAAAATATATTGTATGAAATAAGTTAGTAAAACTATAAACTTCAAAAATAGAAACAAATGACCAAATTACAAAATAGGCAACAGATCTGAATAAACATAGCACCAAAGAAGATATCCAGACGGCAAGTGAACATATGAGAAGATACTACATGCACAGAGCATCAGGAAACTGAAAGTCAGAACAGTGAGATACCACTGTTCCAACACAAACTGATTAGAATGACCAGACCACAAACACTGACAACACCAAATGCTGACTCTGCATATGATCTGGAAATCACACTCCTTCATATTTACCCAAATGAACCAGTAATTTAAGTCCTCAGAAAAATTCACACAGTAGTTAGAGTACCTTTATTCAAAACTGCCAAATCTTATGAGCAACAAAGATGTCCTTCAGCAGGTCAAAGGATAACTTAAAACAGAGATACATCAAGAGGGAAGATTATTATTTGATTTTTTTATTATATATATTTTTAAAACAGCTATTTAAATGGCCAACAAGTTGGCTCAGCCAGTAAAGGTGTTTGCTACCAAGCTTGACAATCTGAGTTTGATCCTTAGGACGCAAGAAAACTGACTCTCACAAATTGCCTATCTGACCTCTATATGCATGAGTGCCCTACACACACACACACACACACCCCATTTTAAAAAGAAACAGCTATCAACCCATGAAAAGGCAATGAAAGAACCTTAAGTGCATATCAATAGCTGTAAGAAACTAACCTTGACAGAGCCAGAGGAGAGGTAAGCTGTTGCCAGGGGTGAGGGGCTTGAGAGGGAGGAAATGGCACAGCACAGGTTTCCAAGGCAATGGAAATAATAATCTGTATGATATGTGTGAACACATTTCATTACTATATACTTGAATATACAACACCAAGAATGAATCTTAAAGCATGTCATGAACTCTGGGTAATAGTGTGCTGATGTAGGCTCATCAACTGTAACAAAATGAACTAGTGGGAAAACTGTGCATGTCTGGAGGCAGGAGGTATATGGGACCTCTATTGCTCAATTTTGCTATGAACTAAAAACTAGTCTAAAAAAATTAAGTCTATAAAAAAAAAAAATCAAACCAGGAAGACACGGTAGTGCACCTACAAGCCTAGCACCTGGGAGACAGATGCAGGGAAATGCCTACAAGTCTGACGTTAACTTGGTCTCGATAGTGAGTACCTACAAAGTGAGATTCTGTCTTTAAAAAAAAAGAGAGAGCCGGGCGGTGGTGGCGCACGCCTTTAATCCCAGCACTCGGGAGGCAGAGGCAGGTGGATCTTTGTGAGTTCAAGGCCAGCCTGGTCTACAGAGCGAGATCCAGGAAAAGGCGCAAAGCTACACAGAGAAACCCTGTCTCAAAAAAAAAAAAAAAAAACCAAAAAAAAAAAAAAAAAAAGAGAGAGAGAGAAAGAAAAACAATATATACACATATATGAAATATATGTATAACTTACTTACTACTTACATCTTTAATTCTTTATCTAGATCAAAATGACTATTTCCAAGCTCAGAAGGCAAAACCACAAAATTATTGCCTGATTATTCCTCATCCTCTCCTTTTTTTTTCTTTTGGGGTAGTGAGTGGTGTGGTAGCTGGCGATTGAACCTAGAGTACCAGGAACACTAAGGATGTGTTTACCACTGAGCTATACCCCAAGCCCAAACCTGATGATTTCTAGCCCTCAGTCCTAGCAAGCATTGCATTAGCTTAACTGTCACTTAGGAACGAGAATCAAAGGACTCACTTTTCAATTCTTTTCTTTCGCTCCCTTTGTCTGTTTTGTTCCTTCACTTGTTCTCTCTCAATGTCCATGAAAAGCCTCCTGTGTCTCAGGTATTGCTTTTGACGCTAAAGGAAAGAAGTTAGAATTATCTAGCCTGTTCACAGACAACTTTGTAAAGAAGGACAAATTCTTATTCTAAAGAGAAGAAAACTATCAGATAATGAGGGTACATGTGGTAAAGTCATTAACTTCCTCTGTATCAACAACAGTACACACAGTAAGAAAATTAAGTTTTCAAATACATAGCTACTTTGTTAATAGACAAACCAGTGAAAGTGCAAATTTAGTTTACCCTTAGTAAAAGCTGAAACAGTTAACATCATCTGAAGAAAAAACAGTGTATTAGTTTGCCCTTAGTGTAGTCCACTTGTCAATAGTACCTAGGAAATTGTTATATTTGACACAATAAGGTACATACTATATTTACTCTGTGTTCTCAAGCAGTATCATAAAAGCAGGGCCGCAGAGAAAAAAAGGGAGGCATTTTATAATAGAACAATACTCCATTTAACTTGTAAAGACTAAAATCACATCACAAAGCCTAGCCACATATGATGATGAGAAGTGCAGAAGGGATGAAGTATATCAGGGTATCATGCTCATAAACAGAATGAGCATAATAAAAGCAAGTGCTACTATACTGTGCCTGATCTGTTTACTTCTGGCTTTACATACTCTCTTTCAAGGACACCAGCTACTCAAAAGGGATAACTTATCTATACATACACTAGGTCAGTATATGACTTGTCTGGTAAAAGAACCTTAATCTGAAGAATGACTCTCATTATTAAAGATGCATCAAAAATGTTTCTTTTCTCATCTGACACCGGCACATGGCTAGGATTTAAAACTGTTAGAGTACTTTTTAATTGAAGGGGAAGGAAGCCATACATTTAAAGTATTCCTTTAAGTAAGTTATAGTGGCAAATATATACAGCTAGAGAAATTCACTTGGATCAAATCTTTGACTTCACACAAGTGCACCTTAAGTCCTAGGAGTTTAAAAGAGAAGTTAAGCATATTATAATGTCTTAACATCTTTGGAATTTGTGGGGTTTTTTTTTGTTCTTTCCTTTTTTTTAATATTTATTTTTATGTGTATGGATGTTTTGCCTGCCTGTATAACTGGGCACCATGTATGTGCAGTGTCCACAGAGGAGTCAGATCCTCTAGGACTGGAGTTACAGATGGTTGTGAGTCACCATGTGGGTGCTGGGAATTGAACCCAGGTCCTCTGGAAGAGCAGTCAGTGCCCTGAAGCACTGAGCCACCTTTCCAGCTCCCTAATTTTTCTTTTAATATTTTTTTATTTTTATTTTATTTAACACATGTATTTTCTCTGTAAGGTACACAATAGCCTTCCCCTCCTTCTACAACTTGTGCTAGGAGCTGAATCCACACTACAACCTTTCTATGCTTAGGAGAGAGAGTACATTAGCAGGATAGTTGAGGGAGTATCTTAACCAGAGAAATCACCAACTTTTTAGAAAGCACAAAAAAATGCATCAAATACGGCACCAAGTAGATTGCAAAAAGCTGCTTGTTTGTGATATGAGAGCTGAAACAGTCCAGCTGTCAGAATGCATTTTGGGTTACTCAAATCTTTCATGTCTCTTGTGCCTGTTAGCAGAGTATTTGGCCTGTAATGTAGGCCTGTGTGCCATCTGCATACAATGCCTGCAGAGGCCAGAAGGTATCAGATTCCCCTGGGAATGGAAATATAGATGATTATGAGTACCCATTTAGGGGCTGAGAACTGAACTTAGTTCTCTCAAAGGGCAGCACATACCGGCTGAGTCATCTCTCCAGCCCCAGAATTTCTGTTGTTTTAATGAGTTAAACTAGTGAACTGCTTCCAAATTCACACAGAATTCAGAAGCAGCACCACTGCATACCTCTTTCTTGTCTTCTTCTTGATCCACTCCAGACTGAAATGCCAGTAGAGCGTAGTATTCAGTGCTCAGTCCTGATCGATACTCCTCAAACACCTGCTACAAAGTCCAATTTACAACAAGTGACAAAACTGCTCAAGTTCTGTGACTCCTCTAGGTGTGTCTGTCCACTGACTCTTCCTTAACTGGTAAGGCATGGCAGAAACTGGGCTCATTACCTACTGTATCTTCTAGAAAAATTATGTTGGTTGGTACGCGAACCTGGACATTTTATGTCAAGTAATAATTTCTACTTTTAAAGTTATTTATCTTTAGTACTAGAAGCAGGACTAATGAACTAGACTGCTCCTGCCAACAGGATTTTTTGGAGGTGATGAAAATGTTCTTATACTGACTGTGGTAAGGTTTGCCCACCCTGTGAACACTCAAAGATTACTGAACTGTACATTAATTAATCTTTAGTATTTGTACTCACCATCATATTTACAAACTTGCCTACTTGTTCACATCTATATGTAACCCCAACACTCACAGTGCTTATGTAGTCCTTGGCAGACATGCAAAGATATGAAAGATTTGAGTAACAAAAAAAAATGCATGCTGCCAGCTGGATTCTCTTTGTTTCCACTCTCATACCATAAACAAGCATCCTTTCTACAATCTACTTGGTGACAAACTTGATGTGTTTTTGTGCTTTTTGTTGGTGATGTCTCTGTTTAAGATGACCTCCTCCCCATAGCACATTGCTGATATATTATCCTTCCCAAGCATAGAAAAGTTATGGTGTGGATTCAATTCCTAGCACAATACATACATGTGTGCACATGGGGGTGGGGTGTTGTTGTGATATGCCTTACAGAGAAAATACATGTTAGATAAATTTTATTTAGGTTTGAGTTATGATGATGCTAGCTGAGATCAATATTAAGGGATCAACCACATATATTTTCTTTTTGTGGTGCTAGAGTTAAAACCTGGGGGCTTGTGCATGAGAAGCAAACACTCTACTGCTGCTGATGAGTTATATCCCCAACCCAAACCTTATAAATTAAATCAGGACCTTTAAATGGAAATATCTAAAACAAATATAATATGTATATTAACTAAATGACTATAAATAAGCCCTGGTTCATATGGTCAAATGCTCTAAAAAAGGAAACCAAGACCATTCACTGGGGAAAAGATAGTCTCTTCAACAAATAGTATTGGGGAAATGGACATTCACATGCAAAAAAAATGAAGGTCAGCCCTTAGCATAAACCATCTACAAAAATTAACTCAAAATTAATCAGATCAAGAGATGTATACATAAAAAGTAAACTATAGAATGCCTAGACAAGGGGAAAGCTATTTAACACCAGATCTGGCAATTTCTTGAATATGATACTAAAAATATAGGTAACATTAGAAAAAATGAATTGGACTACATTAATACTTGCATACAAATGGACACTCTCAGAGTAAAAAGGTAACAAAGGAAATGGGAGGAATCTTCAAATCTGATATGCTTAGAATATGAACTATGCCCCCCATATGTTCATATACTAGTCCCAGCTGTTGGTGCTATTTGGGTAGGCTTTGGGAAGCTTATGAGGTAGGGCCTACTTGGAGGAAGTAGCTCATTGGGAGTGTGACTTTCAAGGTTATACTGGGTCTCCAGTCCCTTCTTCTCTTTCCATCTACCATGACTTGAACACCCCTTTCTTCCACATATTTCTGCCACAGTGATGTTCTTTCTGTTCAAGAACTTGGAACCAAGCAACCATAGAGTGACCCTTTCAAAATCATGAACCAAAATAAATCTTTCCCCCTTTAAGTTATTATCCCAGATACCAGAAGTTCTATAGACACAAAACTGACAGATCAATTGAGTCACTCATACACTGAAGTCTGTTAACTGAAACTGAATGGCTTAACTCATATCCTAACAGTAGAGCAGATAGATTTTTCACTGTTTCTGTTTTGCCTTGCTCTTTTATGACCCATTTTCCAAATAATTAACACTGAAGTCAGCCCTGCCTAAAAAGAAAAATAAGGGAAAATATCCAAGAAAGCCGCTAGCAGGATGACTTCCTATTCATTAGCATTCGGTTTACAGGAACGAGGAATGCCTGGTATTCCTGGTGACCTATGGAAAGCATCAAAATCACGTCAACACAATTACAACAAGAATTAATTGTCAAGCTAGGGGTAGAGCCCCACGGTAGAATACTTGCCTAGCATGCGTGAGGCCCTGGGTTTCCCAGCACAAACACACAAAAGCATTAATCATCAGTCCAGTGCTCACCTGACTGTAGCTAAAGTCAGACTCCCAGAAGCACCATGTAAGCTTTCTAACCTGTGACCTCTGACAAGATGGAACTTGGGTGTGAAAGCCTTCCACCTCACACTTGCTAGCTTGTTACCAATAAAGCCTTCTCCCATCACTGTCTCTCTAGTTATTGCCTTCAGCAGCACAGACACTTCACTGTTATATACTCTTGTTCATGACAGCATTAAGCAGGAAACAAACCAAGTGTCCATCAATGGATGAATGAATAAACAGAATGCAACACACACACACACACACACACACACACACACACACACTATTAAAGACTTTAAAGTGAAAATACTGTACTATGCTATAGCATTATGCTAAGTGAAGCAGGACAGTCACAAGAGGACAAATACTGTAGGAAGCCACACCATGAGGTACTTAAAGCCATCAGACTCAGAGACTGGAAGTAGGACGGTGAAGGAGGAGGGAGTGAGAGGCTTTTATTTAATTGGTATAGAGTTCCGGATTTAGTTTCAGATTTGTAAGGTTAGAAAAAGTTCTAGAGACAGACGGTGACAGGCTGTATAACAACATGAAGGTACTTATGCCACTAGAGGGTATATTTGAAAATGTTTAAAATGACCTGAGTGGTGACCAAGTATTATAATCCTAATACTTAGAGACTAAGACAAGATTTCATGTCCAAGACCAATCTGGGCTATATATGGAGACTCTGTTTCAAAATTTAAAAAATATATTTATATTGTAAATAAAATGATTTAAATAGTAAATTTTGTATTTACCACAATTTAAAAATATTTAAACATTCATTTATTATGGGGTTAGACTAGCATGCCACAGAACATGTGTGGAAGGCAGAGGACAACATTCAGGAGTTAGTTCTCTCCTTCCACCGTGTAAGTACCCAAGATCCAACTCAGGGAGATCACAGGCTTGATAGCAAAATGTCCTTAACTTGTGAGCCATCTCACCAAGCCTTTACCACAAGTTTTTAAATGCACCTACATCCAGATGTACATAAATGCTTTATAAGATGACTACAAAACACATACATTAACATGATTAATATTGGAGAGAGAATTAGGATTTCAAGAAGGCCTTAATAGGGGACTTTTCCTACTTCTTCTGATTCCTTATTTTTGTGGGGTCTAAGGGAGGGTTAGTTCCATGGATCCAAGCTGGCCTCAAATGTGCTATGTATGTGGCAGAGGAAGAGCCTACAGATCGGTCCTCCTGCCTCCAGCTTGCCAGTGGTGGAGCTGCCTGCAACACTTTGCCCAGTTTGTGCAGAGCTGGGGATCAAACCACGGGCTTTTACGTGGACTAATCAATCAAGCACTCTACTAACATCCTCAGCCTTTCTGTATATTTCTAGTGCTGAAATGTTCTACAAGAATTTATCTATGGATTACATTTGTATATCCCAACATTTTGTTTTAAAAGTTCTACAAGGTTTTCATCATACATTACAAGAAACACAGAATTACTTCTTTATATTTCATTTTTTCTTCCCCATATTCATTTTTAAAGATTTTTTTCATTTTAAAATCAGTCTATGGATAAAATTACCTTCTAGGAACTTTTGACATTGCCTACAGAATTTCTGTTTGTTATAGTCTGGGGCAGGGGGTGGGTTTGGAGCAGTGCCACTGGCTTCCAGTGGGTAAATGTAATAGAAGTCAGAGACACAAGGAGCTAGAAATACCTCCAAGAGGGTATAAATATACCTAAATATTTGCATTTCTTTACTACTCATAAAAATCAATTTATTATCACAGTTTAATATATGAAGTTTAAGAAGTCAGCTGCAGAACAATCAATATAAGACTACAATGTCATTATATAAAAATAATGTGACATACAATCCAGTCAGAATTGATTTGTATGTAAGCACATATGCATGTGTGTAGACATTAGGTGGTCTAGACTGATGAACTTTTTTTTTTTTTTTTGGTTTTTCGAGACAGGGTTTCTCTGTGTAGCTTTGCGCCTTTCCTGGATCTCGCACTGTAGACCAGGCTGGCCTCGAACTCACAGAGATCCGCCTGCCTCTGCCTCCCGAGTGCTGGGATTAAAGGTGTGCGCCACCACCGCCCGGCTAGACTGATGAACTTTAAACTGTTGATAGTAGATATATCTGGAGAAAAGGAAAGGCTGAGGGAATAGAAAATGGAAAGGTGACTGATCTTTATGCTATCAATACTTTCTGTATTTAAAACTTTGCATTGAAAATTTATTAAAATGAATTCTCCTAACTGATCAATTTGGGGGCACTAAAAATTAAACTGGCATCTGTAAATAACAGGTTCTGTCTAATTGTATTGTAAAGATAAATTGAAATGAAACAGAAAAGTCAAAGACAGGAAGTCAGTTTCCTAGATCAGACGAAGTGGAGGTAGACCCTGGAAGTTGACTAAAAGACCAATTAAGGAATGGCAAAGGTCTGAGCTAAAATAATGGCAACAAGAATACAAAGAGAAAAGTTGAATGTGAAACTGCCCCAATCTGCCTTATCAAGAGGATCTAAGAGGGCAAGACAACCTAGCAGGTAAAGGTGTTTGCTGCACAAGCCTGGAGACCTGAGTTTGATTCCTGGAACTCAAGGAACTGTAGACGGACACAGCCCACTATTCTAATTTGGTTCTCCACTGCTATGATAAACACTGACCAAAAGCAACTTAGGGAAGGAAGAATTTGTCTTACAGCTTATGGTCCATCACTGAGGGAAGCTAAGGCAGGCACCTAAAAGCAGAAGCTGAAGCAGAGACCATGGAGGAATGCTGCTTACTGGCCTGCCTCTCCTGGCATGCTTATCTACCTACCTTATACAGCCCAGGCCCATCCGCCCATGGATAGCATCACCCACAGTGGGCTGAACCCTCCTACATCAATTAGCAAGAAGAAAATTCCCCTCAGACATGCCACAGGACTTTCTGATGGAGGCAATTCCTCAACTGAGGTTCCCTCTTCTCAGGTGGGTCAAGGTGACAAGTGAAGCTAATGGTGACAATTGACTCCACAAAACTGTCTCTGACCGCCACACACACTCCATGGAATGTGTACTCACATTTACATCGTGCCATAAACACACAGTAATAATAAATTTTTTTTAATTGAAAAAGGATCTAAGATGAAGGAACAGAGGGGATACAAAAATAATCCCTAGGATTACAGCTTGCACAATAACATGGGTAAAGGAACTGTTCCAGAGTGAACACTCAGAACATCTTCAATTTGAGGCACCTGTAGAATAGGAGTTCAGATGGTCACTGGGTATTCCAAGACAGATTTCAAAGTAATCTGGTAGCTGAAGTCATAGAAGTAAATGAGAGAGAGAGAGAGAGAGGGGTGGGGGGGGTGGGGGGGGAGAAGGTGGTGGCTGTTTAATAATTTAAAAAAAGACAACACACTAACAGGAAACAAATTCAGTAAGCAGGAAGGCTCAGAAAAAGTGACCAGAATTTTAGCAGTGAATCTGGAAACTGACTATGCACAGAGAAAAGGTTTCAGAAACAAGCAGTTTACTATTTCAAATGTTGCAGAAAATCAGCAGCATATAAGAAGTCAAGTATCCATTGATTTATTAACAAGAATGGACCCGGGACCTTCTAAGCAGTATTTAAGTTCAAGGGTATTAGTGAGGACAGTAATCAAAATATAGGCAACTGAGAAACTGCCAATATGTCTAAGTTGTGGAAGATAAAAAGGAACTAGTTATTACTGATTATTCTTTTTAAATAACTGACTATGATAACCATGTAAAATCATTTGCAGATCACAATTAGGTTAAAAAAAAATAGGAGTATCATGAAGAATCATGTATCTTCAAAACCACTGTCTACAGAACTCAAGAGGAGTCATTTTTTCATTTTGTTTTTGTGGTGCTGGGGAAGGAAGCCAGGGCCCCTTGTGAATACTGGGCAAGCTCTTAACCAATGATCTGTATCTCTCAGGTCCAAAGGAGTTTTGGAATTTTTGTTTGTTTGTTTGTTTAAATGGAAAACACTTGAAAACATCCATACAAGGGAAGTATTTTTGAAACATTCATAATATAGAATAATTAATGGCACAAGAGTCTACAGGAAAAAATGAGGGAATGTAGAATATACCCCAAAAAAGAAACTACTCTTCCTCGAATATAGTAAGAATAGGTAATATAATAAATTAATATCTATAACTAGTAATAGCAGTGACAGTGTGAAAGCTTTGATTTTCTATCCCCCACCCCTGTCCTCTTTTCTCCCCCCCACACTCTTTCTTTTTTGAGACAGAGTATTACCATGTAGACCAAGCTGGCTTCAAACTCTCAGAGATTCACCTGCCCGTGCCTCAATTGCTGTGATTAAAGATGTATGCCCAGCTTTTGATTTTCTTTACAAAAGTGTGAGAGTTTGAGATCAGAGAGATGATAGCTCATCAGTTAATAGTTCTTGCCACAAAAGCCCAGTGTCCCAAGTTCATTCCCCACATTTACAAGGAGAAAATCATTTCTACCAAGTTGTTCTCTGACCTCCACACACCCAGACAGAAAGACAGATAGCAAACACAGACACAGACACACAAATAATATATAAAACTTGAGAAATAAGGAATTATAGTATGGTGTTGCTGCCGGGCAGTGGTGGCTCACGCCTTTAATCCCAGCACTCAGGAGGCAGAGGCAGGCAGATCTCTGTGAGTTCGAGGCCAGCCTGGTCTACAGAGCGAGTTCCAGGACAGGCACCAAAACTACACGGAGAAACCCTGTCTCGAAAAACCAAAAGGAAAAAAAAAAAAAGAGAGAGAGAGAGAGTATGGTGTTGCAACAAGAAAAATGCTAGGTTTCAATGCTTAGAAACCCTAAGTATGAATTAGTATTCATCAGCACTACTAACGTGTTTTCTCCAATAGGCTGGACTAGAAATGCAAGAAGAGAAATATTGTTCTAAGGTTGAGGATTCTCAGGGCCTGTGTGATGGTAGGATGAAAAGAAGAAATTCACATCACAAAACTTCACCCTGACTTGGACAGTCAGAGGTGCCTCTTTTCTAGGCTTTGTGAATGCCCTCTATTACAAATTATATTCCTCAATAACCATCTGATTACATACCAGTCTCCTTTTGAGACTGTCTGAATATCTGAGTGCCAGGTCATGTTGGCAGCTGTATCTGACTGTACTTAAATAATGGCTAATGTTGGCAGGTACTGAACAAATGTTTGACTAGATGCTGTGGAATAATCCTTTTCTACACTGTGAAGATTTGTCACTTGGATTGGTTTAATAAAAAGCTGATTGGCCTGTAGCCAGGCGTGAATTATAGGCGGGACAACCAAACTAGGAGAATGATGGGAAGAAGAGGGGCGGAGTCAGGGGAGATGCCAGCCAGTCGCCAAAATATTAAGTCTCAGTGTGTTTATTTGGGAGTTGCTGGCAAGACAGAAACTTTCGCCTACAAGTAGGAGGATAAGGATTCAAAGTCATTCTCAATTACATACCAAGTTGGAGCCCAGCCTGGACTATGAGACTTTACCTTAAATAAACAAATAAATAAATAAATAAATAAGTAAATAAATAATGGAACATGTGTAAGTAAATAAACAATTGCAAATTGTTTTATACTCAGAAGGAAACAAACAACACAAGGATAGATTAAAACACACACACACACACACACACACACACACACACACACACACACACACACACGGGATGGGAGATCTGTAATTTTGATAAGGTAGCCAGGGAAATCTTTTCCAAGGACCATTTAAGCTAAAATATGAAGAGGAATGAGTTAAGCCAGGTTTTTCATCATAGCAACAAAATGCCTGAGAAACTAAACTAAGGAAGGCTTTAAAGATTTGTTTTGGCAGGCTGGGCGGTGGTGGCACATACCTTTAATCTCAGCACTCAAGAGGCAGAGGCAGGCAGATCTCTGTGAGTTTGAAGCCAGCCTGGTCTACACAGTGAGTACTAGAACAGCCAGGGCTACAGAGAGAAACCCTGTCTCAAAAAACAAACAAACAAAAACCCACTTGTTTTGGCTTAGTTTCAGAGGTGTCAGCTTACCCATGCCTGTGTTGTTTCAGGGATCATGTATTTGTAAGACAGACCATCATGGTAGAAGCATGCAGTGGAGCAAAATGATGCATTTCACAGTAGACAGGAAAAACTGGTGTAAGACAGGCAGAGGCTGGGAACAAGGTACATTCTTCCAAGGCACACACCTAGTGATGTTCTTCTACAAGAGTCCCCACCTCCTAAAGAGCCCACTTAGGAGGCCAATATCTTCATGATCAGTCACTCTGCAATAGCACCACCATAGGGCCAAGCCTTCTAATGAGCCTTGGGGACATTTTACACCTAAATCATAACAGAGAAAAGAATCAATGAAGGAAAAGGGGGAGACTCTCCAGGCCAAGGAAAAAACACATGCAAAAGACCCAACTCAGATAAGGGCCTCACCCTTCAGACTATCAATGCCAGTGCTGAAGAAGCCACGGCAGTACTCCTTAAGCCAACCTTGCAGGCCAAGCGAAAAGCCCCAGAGAACCACAACTCAGTCCTGAAGCCTCGGTCACATCCTACTTTCTGCCTTTTCCTTCATATCATTCTGACTCCCTTAACAAGGACATGAGGAAACTTCTTGATTTCTTTCAGGCACCCTAACACTACTAGCTACCTAGAGCCTTTGATTCTAAAATACATAAAACCACAAAGAGAAATCATTGGAGAATAGAATTTTAGAGGGAATACATAAGACTTCAGATGAGCCATTAAGAAATCTTAGTAGACCAAAGCCTTGTGACATTTCTTGAAAAACTAGAGATCTTAATTCAATATCCCCAAAATTCAACACCACCCTAACAAGTTCCAGCACAAGCTCTGAAATAAAACAATCTTCACAGCAATGTGGGGTGCTTTTTTTGTTGTTAGTTTGTTTATGTTTTTTCAAGACAGGGTTTCTCTGTGTAGCCCTGGCTGTCCTAGCACTCACTATGTAGACCAGGCTGGCCCTGAACTCACAGAGATCCACCTGCCTCTGCCACTCACTATGTAGACCAGGCTGGCCCTGAACTCACAGAGATCCACCTGCCTCTGCCTATTGAGTGCTGGGATTAAAGGTATGCCCCACCACCGCCTCGCTGCGACATGGTTTTTGATCAGCCTCCCCACTTTCAGGCTAAAGCTATCTGTAATAGCACACATACCTGTCGCCTGCTGCATGTGTCTCTCTGGTGTCTGGGTGGAAGATGTTCATGACCACCAAGATGTAAATCCTCTTGCCACTTTTCAGATGTATTAACAGATGGCTGCTGCCTAAAATGTAAGCTCTAAAACACACATCAATTTGTGTAAATGGTGACATAATAGTGAAAATACTACAGGCTTAAGTAATAGCCCCAAGTAATCTAAATAAGTCAGTGTTCTGATCTGTTATATCATAAAAGTAGAAATATTTCTTGTTACTATCAATCTTAATACCATCTGCAAAACAATCTTAAATTTTACCTATAAAACAAGGATCATATCAGTATCTATCTCCAAGGTTATTGTGAGAATTCAGTAAGAATTTAGAATGCATACAAGCTTCTAAAAACATTTTGGCTATTGCTAATACTTCATGAAGGTAAGCTATCATTTTTAAAATGTTAGTATTAATAAAGATAATAACATTAACATCTTTGTTAGTAACATAACTCTAAAAAGCCCAGCTTACACCTTACTAAACTCTGCTCTACCTGCTTGCTAGCAGAGCCTGGATTGTGGATTTCATGTAAACCACATCCGTAGCACTCTGGATATAACTCCTTTCTCCATCTTTCATCTGTCATATCACATGATGCCTGCTCATAGCTCCTATACTAAAAAAACAACATAAATATCAATATAAATTGTCTAAACAGGAGGATAACACCTACAGCAGCAGCTTATGTTGAAGCTTACAATGAAGATTGAAGTAGTTTTCAATCAGAATGGCAAACAAAAAGACAGTTTGTTTGAGTTCTTTCCCATTACTATTGGCCTTAACATTACATGTCTGAAGCGATTACTGCACTGCCTGTCAAGTCTCAGGCCCAAATCTAAGCAATTCGTTCTTTGCAGCACATTCTTCACTACATTCATCTCTACTTATTCTCCGGGACAGGCGAGGTCTCAAATACTGTGTTAAGCATGTGTACAGTCCTCCAAAGCAATTCCTCTTCCAATCTTCCATTTTTCCCAAGATGAAGTCCTTCTGATATACTTGATCAAAAGGAACTACAAAACTGTCTCAACAGAAAGGATGGGCTCATTATAATATAGGAGAAAATCCTAGAGTCACAGCAGAACAGAGGGGTGTGTGTGTGTGTGTGTGTGTGTGTGTGTGTGTGTGTGTGTGTGTGTGATAAAAAATTCCAAACATACAATGAAGTAGGAACAAAACAGTATAATGAATCCCTTATGGTCCCCTTACTAGCAACGTTTATTTTTTCATCTACGTCTTCTCCAACTTTTTATTTATTTATTTATTTATTTTTGTTGCTTTTTTTCGAGACAGGGTTTCTCTGTGTAGCTTTGTGCCTTTCCTGGAACTCACTCGGTAGCCCAGGCTGGCCTCAAACTCACAGAGATCCACCTGCCTCTGCCTCCCGAGTGCTAGGATCAAAGGCATGCTCCACCACCGCCCAGCTGTCTTCTCCAACTTTTTACTTTATATGTGTAAGTGTTTGGCATGTGTGTTTGACTGAGTACTGCATGTGTGCCTGGTGCCTTCAGAAGTCAGAAGGGGACACTGGATCTCCTGGAACTAAACTGGAACTATAGAAGGTTGTGAGCCACAGTGTGGGTGCTGGAAATTGAACCTGGTTCCTCTGGAAGACAGCCAGTGCTCTTAACCCCTGAGCCATCTCTCCAGCACCTTCTCTAACTTTATTCAGGAGTATTTTACAGTAAATCAAAGATTATTTTAGTACATCTCAAAATACCTAGACATTTTACTCTTATTCTGTTTATGTATTCCACATACAAGCTAGCTTAATAAACGGTCTTTTTTTTCTTTTTCAGGAGCTATATGGCCCTCATTCTATAGATGCTCTCTACCTGTTCTCTAAGGAAGACTTGGTCCTGGATCTGAGGTGGAGCATACTGATGACACTCTAGAGGTAACTCCTCATCCTCTCTCTCTTCTTTCATCAAAGTTGAGGGATGCTTGAGAAACATGTCCTAAAAGGTAACAAAAACAGTAATAATGGCAATAATAATAATATAATGATTAATTAGCTAGGGTAATAAGCTAGTCAGAATCTTGCAGGCTTCAAGGAGAACTCTATGGAAATCTTGATGCTCTGGATCCAGTGACAATGCTACATTTTTAATCCAACTCTATAGATTTCAATTCTTAATCCTAAACCACACACAAGGGAGTCTAACAAACTCATCAGACCTTAAATAGCTTAAGGTCTACTACTATTTCGTATTCGTCATGTTGAGGCAATAAGTTTGTGACAATGTGGTAGGATTCAGCAATACAGAATAATCCTGGTAAATTAAAACAGTCTAACTGCCTTTTGAGTGGGAGAATTTAATTGACTAACAGTTTACTAAAACAGGGTCATTTGTACCACTAGGTACAAGATAGAACAGAAAAAGACAAGAGCAAGAATTGAACTGTTAAGGGTTTACACATCCTTCTTAACGCGGAGTGCCATTCTAATAGGACTTAGAACAGGTTCCACTAATACCATCTGCCCTGTCTGGTCTCTGATTAAATCTTGGCACTTGTGGTTTGGGAGGTAGGCACTGATAACTTGCCAGAGCAAAGATTTCTCTCCCTTGCCCATCTGTCATGTCAGAGAATGGCTCCTTAAAGTTTACTTCTTAAAAGAGAAAAAAAAATTATGCAGCAGGAATAGAATGATAGAAATAACAGTTAAGACTTTGCTGAGAACCACAGGGAGTAATATGAAACATAATGGCAGGAAGTCATGCTTTGTCAGTTCTCAAGTTTAGCTGAGAATCTTTGCAAGATCCAAACTAAACCCCAAAGAGTTAAGTTTCTGCTAATCTCCGTCCTTTCTCTGCTCTACCTTGCTCCTGACAGAGACCTGATGGTGCCCACAGAGATCTTGATGGACATCAGAGGAAGTGCCTCTCTCCTGGTCTACCTTTCAGAACTGATTCTGGCTTCATCATATTTGCTTTAAAAAGAACAAACACAATGCACTGATTGCTTAGTTAACAACAACAGACTGGCTTAGACTGTCAGCTTGGGCGAGAACTTGACCAACTTCAGCCGTATGTACTGTTCTCTCCACACAGCCCCTTCTTCCTCTGGCCCTAAATGGTCTCTAGCAGAGAACTGGCCTGGAACCTGTGTTGAGAGACACAGTTGGGTACTTGTGGGCCATGCCTCTTTGTAACTTCCAGCTGCCAAAACAGTTGATGGCTGACAGAAATATTTATCCTAATATAGAATTATTTTTTACACACAAATCTCACAGATATATATATACTGCTGACATTACTTTAACATTTTGTTGACATACTTTAACATTTTGTAGGAAGCCTGGAGTTTGAAAATTAGTCAGGAAACTGCCATTTCCAGCTAGGAATCTCCAAATCAACTGGAGAAGAATCTCTGCAGGTGCTATTACAAACCAAAAGTCACTTATATCTTATTGTTCCCCATTCCTGCTGTTTTACCTGGTTTTGGAGTGGAAGATCCTGCTCCTGGCATTTGTGCAGATTATTCTGGTCTTGGGAAAGAACATCATGGTCCTGACATTTAGGAAGAACATGCGGACCTCTTCTGTTCTGATACATAGGTAAAATATACTGGTGTCTAGGCAGGAAACTCTGTTCTTTAGGTGGGAGATCCTGGTTCTGATATTTGAGTGGATGACTCTGTTCTTCAGGTAAACCAACCTGGTTTCTAGGTAGAAATTCCTGGTCTACTGGTAGAAAATGCTGGTCCTGACATTTAGGTAGAACATTCCAGTATTTAGGGAGATCATGGTGGTCTTTGTGTAAAGAGTCCTGGTCTTGACATTTGGGCAGAAAATCCTGGTCTTTGGATAGAAAGGCCTGATTTGGGGGTAGAAAATCCTGGGCTTCCAACTCAGTATTCCCATCTAGCTCAACAGCCTGGGCTTCAAGAATGTCCCCAGGTTCTGTCCTGAGAGCCTGGCTTTCCAGCTGGGTGGTCTTCAACTCGGTTCCAGTGGCCTGGGTGTTTGGCTCAGTGCCTGGAACTTCAGGCTCAACACTTGAAGCTTTGGGCTCAACATTAAAGACATCAATCACATCACTCTGGGATCCTGGACAGTTGTCTTGAACTTCTACAAGATAATCCTGGGCTTCTGGAAGAACAGCCTGACGGCTGTGAAGATGTAATTGCTTTTGTTCATCTTCCTTTATCACAACAAATAATGGATTTTTGAATTTTACTTTCTAAAAGGAAATATAGATAATAAACACAGACTGTTAGGTGGTAGCAAAAATCCACATTTTTCCATAAGAGTCCTAAAATAATCTTAAATATCATAATCAAACAAAACTAGAAAGGTGAAACCTTAGTATTTGTCCAATGTTAAAATAACCTGAATCAACAATTCTAAATACACCATAAATCCCTAATTCAAGTCACAGGTTTTGTTGTTGTTGTTGTTGTTGTTTTTTTTTTTTAAAAAAAACACACTTTTTTTTTTGCATTACTGGTGACTAAACCAGGGCTTCATACATGCTAGACAAATACTCTACCACTGGACTACATAATCAATTCTCCTTTTATTTTAGGATAAGTTCTCACAAAATTGCTCAGGTTGGTCTTGAACTCACATTGTATCCAAGACTGACTTTGAACTTGTAATCTTTCTGCTTCAGTCTTCCAAGAAGCTAACATTATAGATCTGTTCCCCAAGACCATAAGTTTACTTTTATTGCTTTACCTGAACTTTGCTGAGAGTCTTTTCTTTGTTTTCAGAAAGAAGATCCTGCTGGTAACCCACAAACAAATCTTCTCTCTCCTCATCTGTCGCAACAGATGAAAGTTCCCCACAGCCAAGGTCCTAAAGAAAAAGTAAACATTAAAACAACAACAACAAAAAAATGCAAAGAACCACTAAACGTAGCTATTACCAGTAGAAATCATATATGTACAATAAAACTTTAGAACAATAAGACTTCAGATTCTACAAACAAGTCTAACAGAGCAATGTATTCAAATTTAATTGAATGTTTATACAGTACAAAACTGTGCACTTAAAAGTATAAAACATTATTCAAAGAAATGAAAGACCTAAATACATGAAAAGATATCCCATGTTCAGACTGGGAGACAATGTTGTTCTCTGACAATACTGCTGGATTTGATGGGCCATCTGTAGTCCCAGAACTTTGAAGGTATAAACAAAAGCCCACGAGTTGAGACCAGCTTGGGCAGTATACTGAAATCTCATTGAACACACACACACACACACACACACACACACACACACACACACATGCGCTCACACAAACTTACAACACACGCTAGGCACATTTCCAACGCTGTAGCTCACAAGTGGATCAACAGACTCAAGAATCACTATTAAAATGCCAGCTGGTTTAAAAACAAACAACAAATGAATTCACAAGTAAATCATACAGACACACAGAATATTAGAAAGATGAGGGGTAAGAAATGAACCCTCACATTTACAATGAACTGACATCTGACAAGGGGGCCAGGACAATTCAATGGGAAAAGAATCATTCTTTAACAAATGGTATTAAGATAACTGAAGTGGACCCCTTCTTCAATTCTCTCATGAAAATCAACTGAAGATGAATCCAGACCTCAAAGTTAAGAGCTAAAATTATAATATACTTAGAAGACCTAGGACTAAAACTTCAGGACCCCATGTAATCAAGGGCTAGGAGATATGATACCAAAAGTGAGACAACAATAAATTAGACCACTCCAAAACTAAAATCTGGGGCCTACAAATGATGCTACTAATAAAGTGAAATGATAGTCTATAGAATTATAGAATGGGAGAAGTTCACATATGTCTACTGTCTAATAAGGGAAATATATTCACAACATAGAAGGAACATTTAAACCCTTACAATAAAAAGATGATCCAATTAAAATTTTTCAATAGACATTTTCTTCACAAGAGATACAAATGGGCAATAAGCATCTATATCTCCATTTCCCTACCTGATTTTCCATCAAGTTCTGGTAATGCACTGTAGTTACAGGGCCTTCATGGATCTTACCAGGCAGTTCCTCTCTTGTTTCTTTATTTATCTTGATGCATGCTGGTTTCCTAAGAAGTGCTTTCTAGGGAGGTAAAACAAGCCAATCCATATATAAATAGTCTAGGGAAAGCAATGTCTTCAGTATTTTTACTTCAACCATACAAATAAATCATATGTCAACATGTGGAATAAAATACACCGGAAGAATATACAGACTTTAGAAATGACAACCTGCAGTTATTCTAGCCACTAACGACTGGTTACAGAAGACTTTTAATTTCAGTCTTGGCAATCTGAGAAGGGTCAAACAAGAACATGTTGTACTTGTATCTCAAATTTTGAGTGACCATACAATTAGATAGGGTATAATGCCACTAAAATCTAGTAAGAAAATGAAGGCAGAAGTTAACTGGATTACAATGTAATACTTTCTGACTGGTAGTTTCCACTTCCCACATATGTGAAGGTAGAACACAGGTCAGATATAAGTAAAAGTGTAAGAAAAGTTCCACTAATTTCATAGATCTTTCCCAGGTATATGGAGTGGATCTATTTCTATTCTTCTATCTGGAAAAAGGACATGGCATTCTCTGGAAACATGCAGCAGGTTTGAACTCATTATCATTATAATAATAATAATAAATTACACTCATATGGCACCTCTGACGTATGAAACTGGTTTGTACAAGGATGTTATCTCAGGATTATTTCTCTCTTCTACAGGATTAATTATTTCAGTCAGGTCAGTGAACAGCACTTTCTCTGGAAAAACAACAACTGAAAGGCCTGAGTATATTTCAAACAATGTAAAATATCAGTCTCTAGGAACTAACAACACCTCTTCCCTGGCTTATTAAAAGTGTCCAGTCCTTTTTCTAATAGTACCCGCCAGTGACTCCAATAGTTGGCAGGTTTGAGAATATGAAAGAAAAGCTATTTCAGAAGTCACAACAGGATACTAGGAAAAGGCAACCATATGATTATATCTAGGACAGAACCCCATTTCCTTTTTAAACTTAATTTATAAATTTTTAATTAATACTGAAGAGGGAAACAATCATAGTTTAGTATCCAGCCAATATCAACATAGAGACAGCTGTCTTTGATGGCTGTGTTGAGGAGAAAAACCCACCTATGTGGTGCTAGTCCCATAAGACTGTGACCTAATGAATGATGCTGTAGTCTTTAGTTTGTATAAGTATACACTATGATTTTACACAATAAGGAAATCAACACAGTCCCGGGATGTACTGCTATAGCTACGCAGCACACATGTGTAAGGTCCATGCCATATGTCACACAGGCACTGAAACAGGGAAAGAACTGAGAGACAGTTGATGGTGGAAACACACCACAAAGCCTAAGTAAGGGTCGATTTTACTAGATGTTCTCACGAAAACTTGGAAGTTAATGCCAAAATTGAGCAAACACATGAAAACACAAGAATTGAGCTACTAAAATCTGAAATAAGTAGGATATCTAAACAATGACATTTTACAAGTATAGGCTTAACACTTAAACCTCAATCCACACTTAGTTTCTAATACTTCATTCTAAACTTAAGTTTAGAATTAAATGAATTCCTTTATTAAAAATAGTACTCAGCCGGGCGGTGGTGGCACACGCCTTTAATCTCAGCCCTTAGGAGGCAGAGGCAGGTGGATCTCTGTGAGTTTGAGGCTAGCTGGTTTAGAGTGAGTTCCAGGAGAGCCCAGGGCTACACAGAGAGACCCTGTCTCAAAAATGCCAAAAGCCCAAAACAAACAAAACCAAAGCCCAATGTTAATGTGTTGGTGAAAATCATGAGAGAGATCCCTCAGGGGGCTCTGGTGCTATTAGGGAAGTGTTCAGTAACACGTATATATGAGAATCTGAAATGAGAAGTGTGATAAAGAAAAAAGAGACAGACAAACATGGGCATAGATAACTGATCTCCTTTCCTTCCGTGCACTTGCTGGGAATCAAATCCAGGGCCTCAGTTTTGTGTAATATTATAGATAACTTTTATTTCCTTGTCTTCATTTTTAAAATTTTGTAATATATATGTTTTACATTCTAATAAGGAAATAGTGAATACTATTTTTTGTTTGTTTTTTTGAGACAGTGTTTCCCTGTGTAGCCCTGGCTGTCCTGGAACTCACTCTGTAGAACAGGCTGGCCTCAAACTTAGAGATCTGTCTGATCTGCCTTGTGGATGCTGGGATTAAAGGCGTGCACCACCACGGCCTGGTGTTAACATGTGTTAAATAAATACATATATTTTTTTAAATTAAGATTATAGTATATGTAATTTTATATTCTATTTTTTTCAGTTAAAAGTTTTCCTTGGTCTTCAAATATTATTTGAAAATATGATTTTTTAAAAGAATGGCTGTATTTAGATATATCTTAATTCATTCAATAATTCCCTATTAAAGGGATATTGAATACTACTTCAATTATTTTGCATTTCTAAGTTATGTTGATATAAAAATAAATTCCTAGTTATATTTTTGAAAACAGCATATTGGAAATTAATATACCTCTTGGGTAGGAGAGCTTTTCCTTCTACCATTTAGAAACACTGAAGTCTTTTTTTCACTCACAGTTTTAAAGGATGCCAGCTGGTGACGTGCCTGTTTCATAGTCTGACTAAGCTGCCAGGAAAGGTGGAAAAAGAAAACAAACACAGGTTAAAGTCTTAATACCAAACGCACCGACTGTTCCAGCAAGAAAACAGGTCTCTATTATAAAAGATGCCAGACTCGGGACAAGAGGATTACTTGCAAAGGAGACTTTAGTCTGCTGACAGTGCTTTACAATATTACTGTCATTATTCTAAGATAAAACTGGGTAACCTCATGACTTGATTTAAGTTCTATTAAGCAAATCTATTTAAAATGATACATACCTTTTACACATAAAATGTCAGAAAATAAAACTTAAATATAGGTAGAAATTATTATAGGTAGGAAATTACATTCCTTATCTTCTATTCATCTTGCATAAATGTTTTTATTACTCTTTGCTATAAGACTCCATACCTAGTTCCCCTAGAACTCTTATTTCTTATTTACGTGAATCTTTTCCCTACCTATCTCATTTGAAAACTAGCACGAGCCTTTTCTCAGATCCCCTTTCCTCTAGGAAGCCTTCCTAACTGTCCTAGTTTCAATCCTGTTGCTGATAAAAATAAAAATACCCTGACAAAGGCAACTCAGGGGTTATGGGGAAAGTGGTTTATTACAGCTTACAATTCCAGGTTACAGTCCATCATTGTAGGGAAGTCGAGGCAGGAAATCCAAAGAGCTAATCACATTTTACCCAATCAGCAATAGAAAGAAATGAATGCTCACTTGATTCCTTGCTTGTACTAGCTTAATTTCTCCATTCTTGTTATAATTCAGGACCCCTTGCTAGAGAATGGAACTGCCCCCAGTGGGCTGGGTCTTCCCAATCAATGAACTTAATAGAAACAACCATCCACAGACATGCCCACAGGCCAACCTGAAGCAGACCATCCCTCAGTGAAACTCTCTTTCCAGGTGAGTCTAGATTGTGTAAAATGGACAATGAAAGCTGACTATCACATTAAGTTAATGTAGAATGCAAATACTGTATATAGAACCAATTTGTTTCAATTAGCTAAGAAACAACTGATACATGACCATCATATGACTTTATATTCACTCCTTATTCTAGTGATTTTAGTACATAACTATTTTCCTTTTCCAGTAGCACAATCTATTTTATCTCTCTCAAATCTTCAAAAAATGTCCACTTAGGAGGAAAAAAAAAACTATGTATCTTTTTATTTTAGGATAAGCAAAGCATCAGGAAAAGGACAAACATCTCCATACTAATTAAAGAAATTACAGCAAGGCTAGGAATACTTCTAACCCACCATTAAAATGCTAATGGTATCAAGTCTTCCTTGAGGAAAACTATGACTTATTGATATAATAATCATGACTATATAATTTTTACTAATAATGAGCTAATGATTAAAACACACACACACATACACACACACACACACACACACACACACACACACACACACACACACACACACACACACACTCCTACTACCAGCCCAATGTTACAGTGTATCTTCTCTCCTTATTCCTTGCTTCTAGAGGTCTACATCTCTAACCAGGTACACCAGTTTGAAACTTTACTCTTTGTTCCACCAAAAGGAAGACTTCTGGATCAGGTGCAGAGTGGCTACAGAAATCAAGACAGTTATTAACAATGCAAAAAGACATTCTGAGCAGCTGGAGTTAAACAATGTATAGCTTTATTCATTGTCAAGTAGAATAGGTTCCAATGACCCATACCATAAGGCCAAAGAGTCCAAAGGTCTTTTGTAGTCTGTCGTAACACATCTAAAAATAGGTATCAGAATCTTCATTTCCCATCAATTACTAATTTCGATTAGAGTCCGAGTCATAAGCAGGTTTTTCAACGGTCCAGCAGCCAGAAGCAGCATTGTGTTCTAGTTCTCTTTCATTACCCTCTTTGCCAAGCCTCAACCTTGTGAAAGCCTTTTCAATGACAAGAACTATATAACAGTCTGAGTATTGGCCAACCAAAAATACTAGATCCTAATCCCTGGAACTCTACATGACATTTTATAAGGCAAAAGGGCCCCTGCTGATGTGGTTAAGAGTACTAATATATAGAAATAATCTCAGATTATCCAAATGGGCACTAACTGCCACCACAGGTGTCCTTGTAAGACAATAGTAGAGAGAGGGTCATCAGAGAAGAGGAGATGATGTGGAGATGCAGACAAAGGCTCAGAAGCTACAAGAAAAGGAATGTCAGCAGAGAAACACCAACCGCTGGAAAAGTCAAGGAACGTATTTTCTTCTAAAATCTGTAGGAAGGTACCCCTGCTGAACCTTGATTAGGAGTCATGAAACTCAGTTTAAATGTCTAGCCTCTAAACCCTCAGCAAATACATTTCTGATACTTTAGCGATTTAAATTGGATAATCTGGGTCTTTTGGCACATACCTATTATAATCATAGAACTTGGGATGCTAAGGCAGGAACATGAGTACAAGGTCAGCCTAGGCTACACAGTGAGTTTAAAACTGTTCTGGGCTACTGACACACAACTTAATCTTTTACAGCTATTAATTATTATTAACAGACTACCACTGAATGATTAGCCAACTTAAGCTTTTTTGATGGAGCTGGTTGTAGTGGCTCATGCCTGTAATCCCAACACTTAGGAGACTCAGGCAGGAGAATTATTGCAATTTCAAGGGCCAGCCTCAGTTAACAATAAATTCCAGGAAAGCCTCAGCTAAGTAATAAGTTCCAGGACAGCCTCAGTTAAGTAGTAATTTCCAGGAGAGCCTCAGTTAAGGAGTAAGACTGCCTCAAAACAAACAAATGGGCTGTAAAATGGCTCAGCTACTAGGAACACATCTTGTTTTTCCAAAACACCTGCGTTCAGTCCCAGCACTCATGTTGGGGGACTCACAACTGCCTTAACTTTATCTCCAAAGGATTTAATGCCCTCTTCTTGCTTCCATGAGCCCTACCCCTCAACACAACATCAGTATAAATAAAAACAATAATTTAAAAAACAAATAATTCCCTAGTGGAGATGAAAAATTCATAACTGTACAGAAAACCCAGCAAATAAAAAAGAATCAATATAACCTCAGATCAAAAACTGAAGTTACCACCTGGCTCAGCTGTGATTAATATTAATGGCAATGACAATAAAAATGCTGAATCTCAACTAAGGAAATTTTAGTATAGTAACATTATAAAGAGAGGGTAAGGGATGGAAAAGTATGTGTGCAGTGGCAAGAGGGAAAGAAAACCAAGCCAAATCCTCATCTTTCCTAACGGGACATCATTAAGATTCTCTACCATACACGTATGTTGTATAACAGTTTCCTCTGAGACTGAAACATCCCATCCCCCAGGAAACTCCTTTTTTTGTTGTTTTTACTTTTTTTTTAAATTTTTTAAAATTCATTTTACATACCAACCACAGATCCACCTCTCATCCCTCCTCCTGCTTCTCCCACCCCCCCACCCCTCATCCCCTCCTCCAAAAGGGTAAGTTATCCCATGGGGGAACAGCTAAATCTAGTACCTTCAGTTGAGGCAGGACCTAGCCCCTCCCCACTTCATCAGGGCTGAGCAAGGTGTCTGACCATAGGTAATGGGTTCCAAAAAGCCAGCTCATTCACCAGGGGTAGATCCTGATCCCACTGCCAGGGGCCCCTCAAACAGACCCAGCTACAGAACTGCCTCCTGTATGCAGAGGGTCTAGTCCGGTCCCATGCAAGTTCCACAGTTGTCAGTCTAAAGTTCATGAGGTTGAGCTTGGTTCATTTGTCACTGTAGATTTCCCCATCATGATCTTGACCCTCCTTGCTCATATAATGCCTCTTCCACCTCTTCAACTGGACTCCCAGAATTTGGCCTGGTATTTGGTTGTGGATCTCTGCATCTGCTTCCATCAGTTACTGGATAAAGGCTCTATGATGACAGTTAGGGTATTCACCAATCTGATTACCAGAGTAGGCCAGTTCAGGCACTCTCCACTATTGCCATTAGTCTAATCTGGGGTCATCCTTGTGGATTCCTGGGAATTTCCCTAGCACCAGGTTTCTCCCTTACCCCATAATGCCTCCCTCTATCTAGGTATTTCTTTCATGGCTCTCCCACTCCATCCCTCCCCCAGCTCGACCATCTCGTTTCCTCACGTTCTCATCCCCAAGTCCCTTTCTCTCTTTTGCCCCGCCCCTATCCCCAGTTTACTCATGGAGATCTTCTCTGTTTCCCCTTTCCAAGGCAATCCATGCATCCCTCTTAGGGTCCTCCTTGTTTCCTAGCTTCTCTGGAGCTGTGGGTTATAGTCTAATTATCCTCTGCTTTACATCTAGTATCCACTTATGAGTGAGTACATACCATGTTTGTCTTTCTGAGTCTGGGTTAACTCACTTAGGATATTTTCTAGTTTCATCCATTTTTCTGCAAATTTCATGATGTCATTGTTTTTTACAGCTGAGTACTACTCCATTGTACATATGTACCACATTTTCTTTATCCATTCTTCAGTTGAGGGACATCTAGGTTGCTTCCAGGTTCTGGCTATTACAAATAATGCTGCTATGAACACAGTTGAGCAAGTGTCCTTGTGGCATCCCTTGGATATATGCCCAAAAGTGGTATAGCTGGGTCTTGAGGTAGATTGATTCCAAATTTTCTGAGAAACCGCCATACTGATTTCCAAAGTGGCTGTATAAGCTTGCATTCCCACCAACAGTGGAGGAGTTTCCTCTTGCTCCACATCCTCTCCAACATAAGCTGTCATCAATGTTTTTGATCTTAGCCATTCTGACAGTATAAGATGGTATCTCAGAGTCATTTTGATTTGCATTTCCCTGATGACTAAAGATGTTGAGTAATTCCTTAAATGTCTTTCAGCCATTTGGGATTCTTCTGTTGAGAATTCTCTGTTTAGCTCTATAGTCCATTTTTTAATTGGATTGTTGGTATTTTGATATCTAGTTTCTTGAATTCTTTACATATTTTGGAGATCAGCCTTTTGTCAGATGAGGGTTTGGCAAAGATCTTTTCCCATTCTGTAGGTTGTTGTTTTGTCTTATTTACCGTGTCCT